TAAAATAAAATAAAATAAATAAATAAATAAAACTCCCAGTTAGAACAAGTCCTTCCCTCTGCAAAGTGGTATGCCTTCCCTGGGAGCTTCGGGTCTCTGGGTCTCCTCTGGCATCTCCCTTGCCAGGAGGTTCTGAGCTAAATTTCTAAGAACCAGCCTTAGATTTGCTCCAAGAATCCTTCCTCTGTCGCTGAATGACTCTTGCTGTTTGGGGCGTGGTTTTGATTTTGTTCGTGACATCATTTATATACCCTAAAACTCCCCCTTTGCAAGTGTACCGTTCACAGGGTTGTGCAACCATCAGCACTATTTGTTTCCAAACTACTTTTATCGCCCCAAAGAGAAACCCCACACCCAATAGCAGCCCCTCCTCATCCTGCCCTGCCCCAAGCAATTTGGGACTTTTTAAGGAAGGATTATTTGATGAAAGAACACAGCGAATCAGGGCAGCGTCCATAAGGGCTGCGGTAGGGACAAGTGTGAACCAGGAAGCAGCATCTAGCAAGATGTCACGGCAGAGGGAATAGAAAGTTGCCTGTGGGAAGGCTGGGGGCACTAAAAATGTCAGCTTCACTTGGAACTGAGAATCTCCATCCAAAGATGGCAATTTATAAGCTGAGAGAACTATGAAAAGAAAATAAATCCCCAGGAAGGATAATCAATAAATTCTTAAAGAAAAAGGTGTGCGTGCAGGGACTAGCTGTCCAGATATTCAACAATGTCCTAAAGCTCCAGTAATCAAATAGGAGGATCTTGACACAGAAATTCCTGCCGACTAATGGAACAGAAGAGAGAACCCAGAAACAGACCCAAGGACACACAGTCATTTCAAGTATGATAAAGGTGGGAAAAACTGGGTGGACACTTAGGGTAACTGGCTAGTCATACAGAAAACAGTAACACCAGATCCTTCTCACACACCATGCACGTAAAGTAAGTCTGTGTAAATCCAAGATTTTCATGTAAAAAAACAAATCATAAATGAGGGGAAAATATGGATGACAAAAATAATCTCCACACGGGAAAGGTCTCGCCTTGAAATGACAAGGACACGAAGGGGCAGACCACTAACCCTGACTAGCGGCATCTTAAATGTTCTGAGTTGGGGGCGGCGGGGGGGGGAGTCCATTTATAAACTCAAAAGACATACAACAAGACAGAGGCAATATTTGCAAAACATCTGATAAAGGATTAATATCAACATACAAAGAACATTTAAAATCAGTAAGGGCAAAACTCCCCAGAAAAAAAATGGGCAAAGTATATTAATAAGAAATCCACATAGAGGAAATAGATATAGCTAAGAAACATATGAAAAAATGCTCAACTGCGAAGAATTTGTAAAAAGAAATCAAAATGAGACCCCCCCACCTTCTCACATACGCAACTGGGAAAGACAATACTTGTGTTAGTGCAATGCTACTAATTATCGAATGCCCGCTGAACTTTCAGGAATCTGCACACAGAAATACTTGCAAACATGAACGGGAATACATGTAAGAATATCTTGCTACAAGTATGGTTTCTATGGCAAAAACGAACTAACCCAAATGTCCAGCAATAGGAACTGGCGGAAAATTTATGGTATAACCTTAAAATAGAACAATATCCAATTGTTAAAATGAATGTTGGGCTTCCAGTTAAACAGGGCACACTGAATCTATAGGTTTTTCTCTATTCCTATCCCAAATTCTGTTTAAATTTTAATAAAGGAACAAAAGAAAACTCCACACCCTCCCCTCAATGCCCAAAAACAAATAAAAGGAGAAAATGCAGTGAGAGGGAGGAAGCAGCAGAGTGAGAGCAGTGATGGACAAAGCAGAAAACACTGGAACCTTCCACCTGCACATGGGGCAGCCAACAAGAAGGAACAGCTTTTGTGCCTCAGGACCCAGAATATTCAGGAACTGAAGGCTCCAGGTACTGTGAATGTAAGGCTGAGTCTGTCAGCTGGAAAGAGGGTTGAAAGGTTGTTTGAAGAGCACTTGGACCCTCCTAGCTCTCAATCACTCACCCTGGCAGGAGAACAGCTTCTTTAGAGAAACTAAGCTCAATTGGCCCAGGGAGCCCAGGCAGCATGGAGACCAGGGATAACACGAGAGACTGAGATAGGGAGTGGAAGTCTTCCTACTAAATGGTAAGAGGCTGTTATTTCAACAGCCTTTCCACACGTCCAAAACCATTTAGAGTAAATATGAAAGGGCTCTTCAAATTTAAGATATGAAGACACCAATTACAAAAATTTAATAGACTAGAAAATGAAGATGAAGAAATCAGTTATAGGGGTGCCTGGGTGGCTCATGGTTAAGCCTCTGCCTTCAGCTCAGGTCATGATCTCTGGGTTCTGGGATCAAGCCCCACATCAGGCTCCCTGCTCAGCAGGGAGTCTGCTTCTCCCTCTGCCTCTCCCCCCTGCTTATGTGTGCATGCTCGCTCGCTCTCTCTCTCAAATGAATAAATAAAATCTTTAAAAAAAAATCAGTGGAAATAAGAAAAAGACAAGAAATTAAAAGGATAAAGCACAGAGGGTCCAACATCAAAACAACAAGGGTAACAGTAAAAGAAAGAAAATGGAGTAGAGGAGAGGATTAATTAAGGAAATAATACAAAATGGTTTCCCGGAACTAAAAGGAGCAGCTTCCCAAGTGAACAGGCTAACCAAGCAAGTGCCCAGTAGAAGAAAACAGACCCCACTGCAAAAACCATCATGGACGCTCATAACCTAGAGAGGAAGAGATCCTTTCACCACTTACAGGGGATGGGGAATGAGAAGGACACTAGCCTCCTCAACAACAACCCTGGACACTAGAGCACAATAGGGCAGTGGCCTCAAAACTGAAGAAAAATAATTTCCAACCAAGAATCATATACCCAAATAGACTAAGTCAACCAAACATGAGAATAAAGATGTTTGTTGATATACAGGATCTCTGAAAACTTCACGTGCCATGCACCATCTCTCAGAAAGCAGCTAGAGGATGTGTTCTATCATAATGATAGAGTAAACCAAGAGAAAGGAATATAGAGGAGAAGGATATAGGAAACAGAAGAGAGGCAACGATGCCCAGATACTGGAAGAGGAAAGTCCTAGGATGACCTAGTGGTAAGTCCAGACTGAAGCAAGACAGAGTAATGTGAGACAAATGTCCACAAACAAGCAAAAACACAGATTAGTCTTGCTGATGTACTTGGCCACATTTAGAGGGCCTTTAACTTCTGCCAGAGAGTTTCGGAATATGTCCATAAACGCTACATTGAAAACTAAGAAAATGGAAAGACATGGCCATGACTAACTCCAGGAAAAACAAAAGTTTGTAAAAAGAAATAATCACAAAACTCTGTATAGCTCTTCTTTGAACAATATTTACATAGTCACGATAATGTCAATACTGAATGCCAATCTAACCAACAACCGTAATATAACTGTTTTAGGAAAACAGAAGTTGAGAAAACAGGTAAGTTGGTTGTTTGATGTTTTCAGGTAGAATAATGGCATTAAATCTCCATCTACCACGTTAGGGAGCTGGTAGATAATGTCAGAAATTGGAGAACTTAAAAAAAAAAAAACAGCAGTTACACTTATTAGAGACCTAAATTAGCAGAAAAAACAACCAAAAGCGTTGAAGGTTATCAAATCTAGGAAGGGAGTTGGAGGTGGGGAGGTATAGGTCAAAGACTACTGGCTTTTTCATTATAATTCTAGTAATGCTAGTAATGTTCCACTTAAACATTAAGTACATGTGTAATTTGTAAAAATTTAAATTTAATTAATTTTCAAAATTAAATCTACCCATCTGACCTGGAAACATGAACAAACAAGAGGTCACACAGTGATACATTTGGGAAGATTCCACTTGAGTTGGGCTTTTAAGCATCTCCTACGTGGTGATAAATGCAGAACCATCTGGGAAAAGACACAAAACTATTAAAAATGAGTATCATGGAGGACTGGGCTGGGAGGAAAAAGATGAACATGAGATTTTAAGATTCATTTCCTTGATCTGGGTCTGTTTTTTAAATAATAAAGTATGTATTACTTTCTAAATTAGAAATGTTAAAATTAATCCTCTTAAGTCCTGCTTGTTAGCTTCTTTCACATAAATTTTATTGCTGTCCACATACATTTAACATAGCTAGTCTAATTCAGAAACATGGGGAGACACTGAATGTATTTTTGCGCTCTCGTTTCTGCCCACGTCTGATGCCTCTATGCTAATTCTGTATCCATCAGGGATGATTAAAAAAAAAAAAAACTGGAGCTGAAACAGACCCCAAAGCTCATTGCAACCCTAAGCACGGACCCCATTAAGTGTCAAAGAGAAACCATCATTTTATCATCCTGGTACCTGCAGCTTGGCAGGGCTTACAATGATAGGACTCGCCCTGAGGACAAAAATTCTAGAATCAGAAGCACCCACTCCAGTCCTTACCCAGCTGCCACTTGCGGGAACACATGGTCTCCATCATCCAGATGGGCAGGGCTGGCTCCAGCATGGCAATCCCCATGTTTGCAAAGCAGATGGACCCTTCAAGGGAGGGAGAGGGTTAGTGTGCTTCCATTTTGGGGTCTTGAGCATCTCTTACTGATTCCAAACACAGTTAAACCCCAGATGCCCACAGCCAGAACAATCCACTTGGAGGCCCAGAACTTCTATTTGTGAGGAAAAGACAGACAACAGGTCAAGGGGAGACTGGGGAAGTTGGGTTTATTATTACTATCATCATCATTATTCTTATTCAATAATAATTAAATATTAAGTTAAATCTATTAAAATGAAATACTAATAACTGAAATCAAATATTAAATTTTAAACAAAGTATTAAGAAACAGTATTTTCAAACTAGAATCCCAGAGTCATAAAGGAATTGGAGGGAGCCTTAGAGGTCATTTGATTACCCATCCCAACCTACTGGCAAAGGAGTTCCAATTTATTAACGAAGTAACTTGCCTGAGGCCGCCCACCAGTGTGGGCCCCTTCTAGACCACACACAGACCCCAGCAACTGGAGGCTCCTGCACCTAAGTTTTACTGTGCAATGAACACAGACATTTCTAAAGATGCCCTGGGATGTCCCCAAACCCAGTACATTCAGTACAGATGGGCTGTTGAGGGATTTTTTTTTTTTTTAAATCAACTATCCATATAGTGTATCTTTGCAAATATCCATTACCACCCTGTTAACCAGAACCCTTGGTAAAGGTAGAGCCACTGCGGGAGAAGACGCACGGGGCCCTTCCCCCACAGTGCTGGGAGCTTCCTGTGCCATGTCCCCGGGAACCTCTAATTTGCCAGGATCCTGATTCAAAGAACATTGTGCTGTGGTGATTAAGGGGCTCATATAATGAAGAAAGGTTTTTTTCATGCTTCGTGACGTTACAGGTGGAACAGAGAAAGGATACAGACATGACCAGCTCCCCCCACCTACCTGCTGCCCAGATTCAGGGTTGCGGGTTACTTGCCGTCTGCTCAGTAGGGCCAAACTGATACCATTCCTATGTCTCCCCTGGGACCCAGGGCCATGCTCTGAACCCCTCCTTGTCCAACTCTCACACAGCAAACCGACATCCCTGCAGTAAATCCACCCAGGGCCAGGCGCCAGGCACCCGGGGTCGGCCCCCAGCTCCAAAGCCTGCCCATCCAAAGCTGTTCCCCCAGCCCTGCCTTGCCCTTCTCATGCAAACCTCTGGCCTAGGAAACCTGCTCCTTCCCCAGGTGGCCCTGAGTGGTGTGGTAATAAAATCTCCTTTCAATAGCACTGACCTCTCTGGGTCATCACTCAGTCACCTTCATAAGTTAAAATCTCACCAGAACAAAGAAGACACCGCCTGGCCTCCAGCTCCCTCAGCCGAGGCTGGGTGGAGGTATGACAGCCTGATATTCAGTGCTGGGTGGATCTTTCCTCCCTGAGTGAGGGTGAGGCGGTGAGGGTCAAAGAAAGCCTGAGGCAGTGGGTGCTGGGCTGCAGGGAGGCCCGCTCTCACCACACATCTCCTCACTCCACCTGAGACCGCCCAGACTACATGGGCGTCTGGGCACTGGAACAGTCCCTGCATCATGCTGGGGGCACAGAGAGGTCCCCCGCATAAGGAAGTCACCACACCAGGTTTGCAACACTGGGGCCAGCTGGCCTGATGGAGAGGGTCTAGACCAGGGTTACACAGGTGCCCCCATGACCAAATCCAGCAGCAGAAGCCTTCAACAAAGCCAGCCTGGGGCATAAAAAGGCTAAACTGGAATGCTCTCAGGTAGGGCACGCGTCCAGTTCAGCCAGACTCCCACAGCCCTAGCCGTGTTCGGGACCACTGCTTGGACAAATCTCACCCTAACTGCGTCTGCTGCCGCACTTCAGGGCTGCCCTCTCCTGGCCGGACCCCAAGGGTCACTGCTGACCAGCGTCCAGGCCCAGGCAGCCCCAGGCCCGCATCCCTGAGATGGTCTTGGCGGGACAGTCCCGTGGATGAATGAACAAACCATAGAACCGGGGCTTCGCCTGAGCCCATCTAGGCCAAGAACCCGAAGATGGGACCTTCTGTAGACAGGGTTTCCCGGCAGCCTCTCTGGTGCTGCGCAGAGTGACCTCTCCACGGGAAGGGAGCGGTCCTCTGGGGCTCTGCCGTCAGCCCTGACTCACGCACGCCCAGGTGAATCAGACCGCCCACCTACAAGGTCTGCAGGGAGGCCACCGACTCTTTCTGGGAGTTCAAGGCCAAACAGTGATGGCCACTGACACAAACAAACCTCTGGGTCAGGGCATCTCCATGACCTAGACCCCTTTGCCCCAAGTGAAAACCAAGGAAGGACCTTGGCTGAGGGTCAGAGATTAATGATGGAAGAAAGACATTCCTGGTGACGCATATATAACCTCTTGGCCGCTCATGATTCTCTACAGTTCCCAGCAGCGGGCACTGGTTCTCGCCAGCCACCCCCCACGCTTTGGCGGAGGAAGATCAGGGAGACTGAGGGGAGCTCCACCTGCGGCGATGAGGATGTAGGGGTCCTTCAGCAATGTGGCTAGCGGCGTCCCCTTCTGGCTCTGTCAGCAAAAAACAGGGGTTAAAAAAGCTGATGTGGCCGCCCCAGCACCCTCCTCCCCCAGGGGCTTACCTCTGGCTGTACCCGGGACGGCTGGAGCACAAAGAGCTGAATAGCTATGAGGGGGAGGGGGAAAGAAAAAAAAAAGAAAAAGCAGTGTGAGCACAAGCACCTCCTGACACAGGTCACAGCCGCCGAGGTCACGGCCAAGGTGCCCACGTGGACTCACCCCCATCCAAGAGCACCAGGGCAGCCAGCACCAGGAACGGAGCGGTCTTCCCCACAAACTCGTAAAGCACACTCCCAAAGGGGGGGCCCACTGCAAGGAAAAGAAAGAGGCGCTGCTGCCAGGCCCTGGGACTGATGCCCACCCCCCAACCCCCGCCACTCCACAAGAAGCATCCATTTGTTTCCTGAGTTTGTACTTTGCTCCAAAAACTATTTGGGGTGGCCACCCTACATTCTATTCAGGTCAAGTTGCCCTGGCAACTTCCTCCAGTTTTATACCCAAGACATGGGCAAGAGCATACAAGGGTACCCCAAAAGTAAAAACCAGAGAGAAACCATACCCAGACCACACAACTGTGCTGTTTAACGAGAGCAGGAAAATGGGTCAGTGAGGACCTTGGTCCTTATAAACCAGCATGGGCAGAACTTTGGGCTCCCAAGTGAAGGCCGGGAATGCGACAAAGGGAGAGGACCCAAATCGCCTCTCAGGGAAGGTATGTGTCACCTGGCCAGGGAGGTCAGCCAGGGCAAGGGGGAGAGGCAGACTTGGAAGGGAGCAAGGTGGGAAGGTCCGCAGATGGGATGGTAACTCAGAGAATGCCCAAGAGAAAGGAGCTTGGCAGACCACCCTTTTCCAGCCTTCATTTTACATCTGGACCCATGAAGGTCTCTGGTTTTTTTTGCCCAAAGTCACCCAGCAGGCTGGGAGGGGGAGGCAGGGGAGCCCACATCCCCCAGGTCAGGAAGTTCCCACCAGTTTACACAGGCTCCACGAAAGTAGGGAATACCAGGGGAACAGACTCGGAGTGGACTCAGGGAGCACTGTGGCCCTCCGCCAACGGCTGACAGGCCCCTCCCCGCAGACGGCCTCCACGTGGCCCTTGCCCACCTAGCACCCCCATGGCCAGGCCTCCCAGGGCGATGCCCATGGCGTTGCCTCGCTCTTCGTCATCTGTGTACACACTGGCCAGCATGCCCATCCCTAAACAAGAGAAGAAATGCTCAACAGCCAAGCTCTCCAGGGAGCACCAAAAGAAATCACCTGTGACTCGCCCTCCCTCTCGGGCCCAGACCTGTGATCTCCCAAACCGGCCAGATGCACAGAAATGTAAGACAAAGCAGAAGCCAAGGAAAAAGCAGTACCCTCCTTAAGCACCCCTCCCCAAGCACCACCACTAATACCGTGATTCCCTACATTATTCCAGCTAATTCCTCAAGGGGCTGGCCAGCCAGCCCTGGGGCCACTGACTTACCAGGCGTTTTTGCACACCTACCAGCTACAGACGAGCAGGATGAGCCAATGCCCTGTAGCGACCTGGCGATGAGTAGGAAGGCGTAGCTGCTGGAGAAGGCGAACACTGCCGGGGGAGCGGCCCGGCGGTGCATCAGTCCCAGCCTGACGCCCCACACGGGCTCCGTGAAGCCAGCCCTGAACCCGACGGCCCATTTCTTGACTAACCGCACTGCACTTTAGTGCCACGAACCGCTTGACGGACCCCCTTCTGCAACTGTGGCCAATACACTGCCCCCCACCCCCACCCCGGGGTTGCAGCCTCGATTCCCGGTGTGGGGTCCTCAGAGCCCATCCCATGACCCACACGCAGAAGGCAAACAGTAGACACTTACTAATTGTCGACACAAACATGATGCAGAATCCCGCAAACATTGGAATTGGATAGCCGATTCTGCAAAAGAAAAGCACGGGGACCCTTTGGTGACTCTCTGTATTTTTCTAAGGCTTTATATGGAGTCTCTCCTGCCTACCCTTTGGGATCAGGCGGATAAGTGTTTGGTCGACTTTTCTAAAAATTCATATAGTTGGTGCTTCCTATGTGACCTTTTCGTGTTTGACTGCCTTGGAACATGAATACATTTCAGGATTGCCACTCTGAACAGAAATTTCTCTGCAATAAATGTTAACACAATATTGGCAAGCAACCCAGAGCATGTCTAAAATACACAACCCTGGTTCCCATCTTTTTTTTTTTTTTTTTAATTCTTTAATTACGGTCTTTGCTAGAGCTTCTCCAAAGGGACAATGGCAAGCAACGATTCCAGTAAAAGGTCATCAAGTGATTCAACTGGCAGCAGAGACTACATTTGAGAAGCATCAGGGATACAAGAAAATACTCAAGTCTATCTTCATATCGACCTCAACGGGGCCAGCCTAGAAAAATCGGCCTCGTTTTCTGTGCAAAAATTCAACATCCTGATGGCTCGGAAAGACCACGGTCCATACAGGGCTCTGCCCCGGGTGGACGGGGGCGGTGGGGAGACCCTGGTCTTCAGGTATCACATCCGGCCACCACCCACCTGCCAGCACGGGAGGGACGACAGAATGAGATGTGGATGATCAACTGCTACTATGGGACATAGTAGATGCTTCAGAAAGTGTTTCCTCCCCCCCTCTCTTCATTCTTTCCTCTCTGTGCCTGCAGGTAAGCAGACCGCTTGGCTCCTGCCACATGGATGGGACAGGAGAGTGAAGGCAGCTTCCTGGGTCCTGCTGCCCCGCGAGGGGGTTCAACGCCAGCTGAGTGGCCGCCCTCTAGCAGAACAGCCCAGAACATCTCCAGGCTTTGTTTCCTCCCAGCCCTAGACCCACTGGCTCCTGGACAGGAACCAAGTGAGGACCAAGGAGTCCTGAGTCCCCAGTTACTCAGCCTGAAGGGCTCTTCTCTTCCAGGCTTGACTAAAAAAATCATGACAATACCTTCATTTAAAGTTACATTCAGGGCACCTGGGTGGCTCAGTTGGTTAAGCGACTGCCTTCAGCTCAGGTCATGATCCCGGAGTCCCGGGATCGAGTCC